ATGATAGAACCTTCAAGTTGACATTTATATGTTGGAATTCATGATATATATTTGATATCAGTTTCACGGACAACCATTGTTTTACTTGAATAAAGTATCTATAGCTACCTACAGCCACATACAGCCACACACATTGTCTTTATTATTGTTCATAGCTACCTTGTTTCATACTTTGTACTTACATGCTGTACTTAGATACATTGTTATCTTCCTGGTTACATTGTCATAGTGCTATACTCATAGTTACTTTATCTTTACTAGTATATAGGTAGATAGAAATCATGTCATGCGATTGCCACGAGCTCAAGGCAAGCGCAATGCAAATTATTCAGCTCCATGTTATGTGGTCCCAGACATAAAACTCCAATTTAACATTATATCCTTACTGCCACATTCAATTCTTCTTGAAAGTAAAAAATTACATTCCTCCTGAAATTCATGTTCCATGTGTCATACCTACTCATTGGATGAAAATATTTGTGCTAAACATCCTGTATTGCACAAACATGTAACATGTCAGTCTTAAAATACTTAGAACTCTCAGATTCATGCTCTATTCAGGAAGAATTGCGCAGTTACTCAGCTGATCTGTATCTCTTGAATCAACTTCGATAAGTATAAACCCTCATGTGGCCGCTAGCATGGCAACACAGAAGTATTTGCAGCTTCTTGATCGTCAAATGTCTTCAAATACAAGAGCATTCCAGTGATCAAGCACACCAAAGGAAATGATATGATGACATCTCTTGATGTACAGTTGCGGCGGATAATGTTGCAACAGCCATAGTGTCGATTTTTCGACGGTTTTGCCCCAAACTTTTTTTTGTGATGTACATTTCCTTACCATATTATGTTGGCTGTAACGTAAAAGTTGCGTATATGGAGAACGGTCAACAGTGTTGTAGCCACACAAGGTCTCGTGGAACTCCGACGCCCAGCACAGCCACATGCCATAAATGTAGCGCGGTTTTGGATGGGAATGAGGATTAGAAATGGAGGGAATTTGAGATTGATTAGAAGACAATGCAAAAAATTAAGGAGTATTACTTTGGTATGCACCTCGGTATCATCTGTTGGAGAAATTGTCGGGAAAAAAAAATAAACAGTTTGACCGCGTCAAGATCCATCTCTAGATCTATAGCATACTGTTGTGTAGGTGATCTCGCTAGTTGACGACGTGCAGAGCGCAACAAGAACGGGTCCAGCATCAATAAGACGTACAGCCATACACCATATGTATGTAAGTATATACTTACGGCGACTTGAAGCCCAGAACTCAAGGACCAAAATGAGGGTATGGAAATAAATAAGGTGCGGTATAGTATTGCGTGTGGCTAAGAGCCTGAGGATCATTGCTACTGACAGAACAGTAAAAAACAAGCAAAAAAGAAATGTCTGTGAACAAAAATATCCTAAAAGCGTAAAGTCCACTAAGGATCCGACAACATACACATTCCCTCTCTCCAACTCAAAGCAATCCCGCAACAACCAAAAACATTCCGGTCAACGCAATCACACCAGCGCCACTACTCGCTCTCAGTCCAAGTGCTCCACTATCATTCCCTCCCGTACTGTTCCCACTCCCTCCCCCGGTACTCCCACCACTACTCGACCTAGGCAAATCCACCTGCCCAGCTCTATTCTCCGTATCCCCATCACAAAACGAACAATCCGCTTTCGTCTCGTTCCACCCATCCGGTCTAAAACCCAAAGGCATATCCTCCATATCGTTCCACAAAGCCGCTCTTCCCTCTGTGCTTCCCAACACTTGACTGGGATCATGTCCAGCGTTCTCTACCACAATCAATTTCGGTCGAATCCCCCCCGATTGACTGTCGTTCCGAGTAACGTTCGACCAATTCGGTAAGTTCTTGTTTTTAGCGAATTCAGGAACGAGTGAGGTGAACAGTTGAACGGGTTCTGAGGAACGAGCTAGAGTGTTGATGTATGTCCACCATGCTAAAGAACGATCTCGACGAGCTTGACCTCCTTGAAGAAGAGCAGGACAGTATTGGTCACCGTTTGCGGAAGTGTCGTCGTTGCCGATGAGGAAGACGATGTCTCGGTTGATGTAGGAAGCGAAGTATTCGAAAGGGGATTTTAGAGGGACTTGGGTTGTTCCGGTGAAGTTGCTGTTTTTCGTTTTTTTTTGGATAATCATGAGCAAAAGGAGGGAAGAAAAAAAAAGAAAGAAAGAATAGAATACTCACTCAAACCCATACCTCCAAGTATTCCTAAACGAACAACTATTATTAAAATCATTCTCACTCGTCTCAACCGGTCTATGTTGAGTGAAATAAGCATTAGTACTAGGATCCCCCACAATATATCTCAACCCTATATCTTCCGGTCCATCGATACCCACTGCAGCATACCTAGCAGTCAACTGACCACCACCCCCATGTCCTACGAGTGTGATGTTTTTGATAGATGGGAAAGAGGATTTGGTGGATAGAATGGAGATGAGAGAATCGATGGCGTCTATGGATGAGACTTTGGTGGATGCGGGGTGCGTGGCGATGTCTCCGGCTTGCCAGGCGTTGACGTCGGCAAAGGCGAGGTCGGTTGGGCTGTATTGCTGTTGTGTGTGGGATTTTTGTTTTAATTCATTTCGTATTGTTTTTTTTTTTTTTTGGTTTTTTGGTTGTTGTTGGAGAGAAAGAAGGAGAAGGAGACGGAGAAGGAGACGGAGACGGAAACGGAGGATGATAGGTGAATTTTTGGTGGAGCAGGAATTCGGGTTGTGGGGATGTGTGTGTGGGGTGAATTGGAAAAAAGAAGGAAGCGAAGAGAAAAAGAAGCGAAGCGTAAAAGGGGGTAAGAGAGAGATGTCAGCATACGGACATCAGTACAACTCCGAGGACGAAAGAAGCAAAGCAAAGCAAAGAGGTGTTCTCATAAGTTATAACTCCCGAAGAGCTCACGAGAAGTCGACACGGGACACAGAGCGCAGTCGAACACTCCGCCGTCGAAAAAAGCAAAAAGAAAAAAGAAAAGAAGTACTCACCCCACTATTGAACCTCTCGGAAAAAAACTGTGGTGCAACAACGATAGCTTTGCTGTCGACGCCAGGGTAATTGGCGGATACGGCTGATTGAAGAGCGCCTTGCATGATGCTCCAGTAGTTGTCGCCGTCTCGGAGTTTACCTGAAACGACAACAATAATTCATTTCGTCCGAGTCCGTGAATGGATTAATGGGTCATTTTTTCGTGTGTGGGTTATTGGTTACGAGGGAGGGGCGGCGGAAAGCGTTGTTTGAGGGAAATAACCGTCCATGGGATCCGGGACACACAATTGGAGAAAAAGATTCGAATTGTTGTCGACAATGGGAAAAAAATTTTTCAAAGAATGGTGACGCCCAATTATGCGTCGCAGATACAACAACGTGAAAAAAATGATGTATCAGGGTGAGTTGCGGGGGAAAGGGAAACCAAGTCAAGTAGATTAAAATCAAAACTCGTCGTCAGTCTCGGGAACATTCACATACACAACGACTTGAGAGTCGGAGACAACGCACCATGAATAACAATGAACGCTTGAGTCGCTTGATCCTGCCCGTCGGAAGTCGACCAATAAACAGGTACGGTCGTACCAGTGTCACCGATCGAGATGTTTCTGATTTCAGAGCCGGAGGGGACGTTGAGGGGACCGTGTGCCTAATATACGCGCGGGAGCAACGGTTCGTAAGTACTTATGAGCGAATGGAATGGTAAGAACCACAGGAAGGTAAATGACAAACTTACCTCGCCCTCATTGATACTATTGTCCGAGAACGTCGTGAATGCGTCTCTTGGGCTCAACGATGCAGGTCTGGGATTGGCGAAGACATTCCCTATGCTGTTCAGCAAGACCAGCGAGGTAGGGAAATAAATAAACGGTTTGAGAGAGCGCATTGGGGGTTTTAGTTGGCAAAAGGAGAACGAATTTGTTCGTGAACGAAGAACGAAATGAAAAACGAAAGTTTTTATGAGAAAAAAGGGTGGACGACTTAGTAGAAGCACATCTAAAGTGTGCGAGTGAGAGAGAGAGAAGGAAAGAGAAAGGGTTGTTGGCGTGTGCGTGGAGCTGTTTTGAAACGCCCCGACAGTAATACACCTGTTTTTCCCGTCAGATTTTTGATTGAAGGCTTGGCGTGAAGCACGCTTACAGCACTGGTGAGAGAGAGATGCCGAGATTTTCATACAGTCGAATACAGTCCAAGACCACAGCATTTGTGCCTCGATAAAGAAGATTTGAATGTGAACCCGGGGGAAAGAACGAATCGGACGCGCGGGCGGCGAAGCCGGTAACCCGCATTGCAATTGGCTGTTCGGCAACTTCTTTGTTGAAGTATCAGTTGTGCGCCGAGCAGTCAACCAATGAAAGCAACGATTCTCACCATGGTCTTGACATCACGAGGCATTTTCACCGCAGCAAATTCAAAACTCTAAGATAAGTCTATGTATCCCTCGATACTGGCTCATCGACATCAAGAACCAATCTGGTCTCGAGGAAGGATAAGTATTTGTACTTGAAGGGTCTTTGTTCTCTTTGCGTCATCGGAAGGTAAGTACCGTTCGTACTTCGAAATGCACAACAATACACTTCGTTGAATGGATGCATCGATGATTCTTTACGCGTATACTCTTGCGCAGTTCATCTTGTGACTTCTAGGCAAACTTGGCGGATATAAAGCGGGTATGATGCACCTTCTGGCGATACTTTACTGGCAGTATGTGCTGAAGAAAGTACTTACGGAATTACGACTAGGACATCCTGTGGTCACTCTTCTCAGGGCCACACACTTATTGAACTCTAGACCGATGGGATTTCGCTGAGTACTCACTAGTGGAAAGGTTTTTCCTTGAGCGGTACACACTTTCATATACATATGCCGTCTACGCAACTACTTACATAGTACTGAGCTCGATTCATCCACCATCATAATGTTCCTGCATGATAGCTGGTCTCAGCCTCAAAACTACTTCTATTCTTTCATAAAATGATCTTAACTACATACGGTCCTGTAGTGTAGCGGTTATCACATGGGATTCTGACCCATAGGTTGATCACTCTGTTCCCATGACCCAGGTTCGATTCCTGGCAGGACCTCTCTTGAGTGAATGCTATTTTTTTCTTTCGTGCAACAGTTTCCCGCTGATCAATCGATCTGATGGTCAACGAAAGGTACTTACTTTTATATTTTCCGTTGTTCATCTTTCAAACAAAAAATCATTCCCCAAGATAACTCGTTCTTCTCGTTCTTCTCGTTGCTAGCATCGGTACTGGCAATCTTCAAGGTACACAGTGACACAGGTAGGTTGTCAGTGGCACATAGTACTAGTGCTGATCTAGATGTCTGAGCTGTACCTTCCCCCTCGATTGAGTGGCATGAAGCGCTCCTCCTCTTCCTCGAACCAAGTTGGTTGCCAATAAGCACTCGGCACTATCGATAAATTAAAACACACCGTATCTATAAGCTTGCTGAAACGGAACAAGACCCAGTGTGTCATTGAATTGCCACACGCACTTACCGCGATTGATCTTGAGCTTGGCCAGTACATACTCATTTCCATTGAAGAGATAGGTAAGTATAGAAAAAAGAGTTCCCTAAAAAAAATCACGATGATAAGTTGTTCCTCCCAGAAGAAGGGTGTTGGATCTGACGTGCACGGGAATAATAGATCCCATGATATCGATTCATTCATCATCAATGATTCTCATGCATAGCTGGTTTCAGCCTCAAAACTAGCTGCATCCCTTCATAAAAGGGTACTTTAAATTATTACGGTCCTGTAGTGTAGCGGTTATCACATGGGATTCTGATATGATATTCTGAAAGTATCAGGCTCTATTCCCATGACCCAGGTTTGATTCCTGGCAGGACCTGAACTGCGATAGCTTCTTCAATCTGTTTTATTGCTAACGCTTTCTGCTGGTGATCAATCGATCTGATGATCATCAACGAACATGTACATCAGCTCCTTTTCGAGGTTCATTTCTTTAAAAGTTCATTGATCATTCTTCAGTTGACTCGATAACTTTAAAAACGAACAAGACCTAAGGTAATACTTAATTGCCATACGCACTTACCGCGATTGTTTTTGAACTTGGCCAGTACATATTTCTATTGATAAGTATAGAAAGAGGAACTTTTCCCTAAAAAAATCACGATGATAGAAGGAATGTGGGTCTGACATGCACGGGAACGATAGATTCAATTCATCCACCATCATGATTTTTCTGCATAGCTGGTTTTAGCCTCAAAACTAGTTCTATTTTTTCAGAAAATGATTTTTCATTACGGTCCTGTAGTGTTACGGTCCTGTAGTGTAGCGGTTATCACATGGGATTCTGATAAGCAGAAACTCCCCTGCTTTCCCATGACCCAGGTTCGATTCCTGGCAGGACCTATAAAAGATTTCAAACAAGATTTCTTTTTCTCGGTAACTTTTTCTTTTGCGCTCACGTTTTCTGCTGATCAATCGATCTGGTGATCGACGAACAGGTACTTATATCCGATTTTCCATTGTTCATCTTTCAATAAAAATAAAAAAAAAGAAGTCATTCCCCAAGTTGATTCGACAACTTTGCTTCTCGTTGCTAGCACCGGTACTGACAACCTTCAAGGTACACACAGGTGGGTTTCCAGTGGTACATAGTACTAGTGCTGATCCAGATATCTGAGTTGCACTTTCTCCCTCGATCGAGTGGCATGAACCGCTCCTCCTCTTCCTCAAACCAAGTCGTTTGGTTGCCAATAAACACACCATATCGATAAAGCAAAACACACATCTATAGGCTTGCTGAAAACCCAATGTGCCATTTAATTGCCATACGCACTTACCGCGGTTGTTCTTGAGCTTGGTCAGTACATACTTATTTCCATCGAAGAGTTAGGTATAGAAAGAAGAGTTTAGGCCTAAAAACAATCACGAATGACAAATTGTCCTCCCAGAAGAAGGATGTGGATCTGACATGCACTGGGATTGATAGATTCCATGATAGAATTGGTTCATTCACCATCATGATTTTCCTGCATAGCTGGTTTCAGCCTCAAAACTACTTGTATTCCTTCATAAAAGGGTACTTATTACGGTCCTGTAGTGTAGCGGTTATCACATAAGGCAATGTCAGAACTCCTCCTTTCCCATGACCCAGGTTCAATTCCTGGCAGGACCTATGCCTGAGTGAGGGTTTGTTTTTGCGCTAACGCTTTCTGGTGGTGATCAACAGACATGTATATCGGCTCCTTTTCGAGGTTTATTTTTAAGAAATTATTGATCATTCCCTAGTTCAAGACTCGATAACGAACAAGGACCTAGTGTAACATTTAATTGCCATACGCACTTACCGCAATTGATTGTTCTTGAGCTTGGCCAGTACATACTTATTTCCATTGAAGAGATAGGTAAGTATAGAAAGAAGAGTTCCCTAGAAAAAAGTCACGATGATAAGTTGTTCCTCCCAGAAGAACTTGAAGGATGGATCTCAGGATCTGACGTGCACGGGAGTGATATATTCCATGATATTGATTCATTCATCATCAATGATCATCCTGCATAGCTGGTTTCAGCCTCAAAACTACTTGTATTTCTTCATCAAAGATCCCTTGTTAAGGTCCTGTAGTGTAGCGGTTATCACATGGGATTCTGATAAATGAATGAGAATTCATTTCCCATGACCCAGGTTCGATTCCTGGCAGGACCTATCAACACCTTTCATGATTTCATGATTTATTTTTGTGCTAACGCTTTCTGCTGGTGATTAACCCATTTGATGATCAACAAACATGTATATGAACTCCTTTTCAACGAGGTTCATCTTTTAAAAAATCAGTAATCATTCCCTAGTTGCCATCAGGACTCGATAACTTTTCGCCTGCTCATATTGAAGCACTTGTTACTAGGGTTGGTCTTATAAGTACTAGCAACCTTCTAAGTTCTAGGTACAAAGGTGGGTTGGTACATAGTGCTGATCTAGGCGTCTGAGCTGTAACCTTCTCCCCTCAATAGAGTAAGTAGCACTCCCACTCCTCCTCTTTGCCTCGAGGTTGGTTGGTTGGGCACCTATTCTGTGCGAAAGCAGACAAAATTAATTTCCGCCACTTTCCCCTTTTTTAGCTCATTTTCGCCACTCTTTTAAGCATTCCGCAGCTTTCAGTGTGACATGTGACCATGCCCCCATTTCCGCAACTGTCATTTTTTTCGAACATTTAATGATACAAATTTCCGCACTCCATTGCTCTCGAAGATTCCAGCGTGACGTGACACCGAATCCAACCCAAACTTTCTTGTGTTTTTTCCGCACTTATGTCTTCTCCGAACTTCTCAGCTATGTGTATTTACTGATTATATAATTTAAACATACATAAATATTAATGCACATGGATTTAGCATGGAATTATGTCAGTATATGAAAATTGTCAATAGAAGAAAACTGGCTTCATTTTTAGCAAAGCTCCCACATACATTTACATATTGATTGTAGAAGAGAAGTGGTTAATCCCTTGGTAAGTAAGGCTGTACTATGAGTCATACATGCCACTTGCCACACTTGCAATGGCACAGCTATTAGGGCAAGTCATTTTAGAGAAGAAGCATAATATTTGAATATCCATCACAATCTTTCTTGAGTTGAGTTACTCAAGAAAGATTTATCAGTCTGTTTAGCTGTCTGCTGCATCTTAGGCTTGTTGTTTTGTGTTTTATATCTATGAAGGAATAGGGCTGTCACTTTGCGTGGCAGGTACGAGGCCTTGATGCCGGGTTGCCAAGACTAAAATGACAAAATAGTATAAGATAAGATTAATGATATACTGAAAGGATTTAACTCCTGGCAAAGTGCACTGCCACCCCGTGACTCCAGATAAGCAAGAATGAGTCCTCCTAAAGTCGGCCTTGTAACTAACCCACTCTCCTACTCTATTTAGCTGCTCCTTTTTGCATTGGTGCCAAGTAAAGAGGCTATCTATTGAATATTCTTTGCCACTCTGGTTCAAGCATGTTTACAGTTTTAATGTTCTCTCCTTTGTTTAGTAATTAGTACCAAGTATTGAAGTAAATGTCTTGTGGATCTCCATGCCATATATCATATGAAGGAAGTAAATGTAAGTCATCAACCCACTGGCTCTTTAGCAGGTTGTCAGTAATTTCTGAATAACTTACATGTAATAACTGGTTTCCATTACGTCATTACCTTCCCAATAACTTACCAATATAATAGGTTTCTGTTACATAATTACCCTTATCACAATAAATATTAAAGGAATTCAAAAATCAGAAACATTCTACTTCAAAGAGTGAATGAATGATTACAACATCAATTGATTGCTTGAAGGCTTGATTAGCAATGAGCATAGGCAAACCAACATGGGACAGCAACAATAGGATTGAAAGACAATTGTTGGAATTTAATTTGAAAAAGGGGCATAGGAAAACTATTGTATGGATTCATCATTCCACACTTGAGTCCAATCTGTGCCACAAACAAAATTGTCCCAATTCACTATAACAGCAGCATTTTGCGCATTTGGAGGAATTGTTAATACTTGCCTGCAATCTGTGAAACCCGCTCTGAGATGGTGTGGTATCCACAGTATAAGACGTGAAGGGCATTGAAGTAAAGACAACCATCCACTAGAGCTTATATAGCATAGATAATCTGGGGGGTGATGGCTATATGAGAAATTCAATGAGTGAGACTGGGATATGGAAAGAAGTTGTTGATGATTAAAGGAAAGAGATGAGGAGGAGTTTTCAGGGAAATAGATGACTGAGTGAGCTGAATTTGTATGGCCCTGCAGAGGTTGACCTACTGCCCTTCCAGTCCAAGAGTCCCATATTCTGACTGTCTTGTCATAAGATCCAGAAGCTATGTGTCTGCCATCAGGAGAATATGCTACTGAGTTAACAGAATGAGTGTGGCCCTGCAGAGGTCGATCCACTGGCTTTCCAGTCCAAGAGTCCCATATTCTGACTGTCTTATCTGCAGATCCAGAAGCCATGTGCATCCTATTAGAGTATGCCACTGACCGAATAGAATCAATGTGGCCCTGCAGGGGGGCTATTAGCTGTCCAGCCTCAGAGTCCCATATTCTGACTGTCTTGTCATCAGATCCAGAAGCTACTATGGATTCCCAAAAGGGTTGAATGTATGCCACTGAGTTAATAGAATGAGTGTGGCCCTGCAGAGGCAGGCCCACTGGCTGTCCAGTCCAAGAGTCCCATATTCTGACTGTCTTGTCATCAGATCCAGAGGCTATGTTTCTGCCATCAGGAGAGTATGCCACTGACAAAACAGAACGAGTGTGGCCCTGCAGAGGCAGGCCCACTGGCTGTCCAGTCTGAGAGTCCCATATTCTGACTGTCTTGTCACGAGATCCAGAAGCTATGTGTCTGCCATCAGGAGAGTATGCTACTGACCAAACAAAATCAGTGTGGCCCTGCAGAGGCTGGCCCACTGCTTTTCCAGTCTGAGAGTCCCATATTCTGACTGTCTTGTCATAAGATCCAGAAGCTATGTGTCTGCCATCAGGAGAGTATGCCACTGACTGAACATAATCAGTGTGGCCCTGCAGAGGTTGGCCCACCTCCTGTCCAGTCTGAGAGTCCCATATTCTGACTGTCTTGTCATCAGATCCAGAGGCTATGTGTCTGCCATCAGGAGAGTATGCCACTGAGTTAACAGAATGAGTGTGGCCCTGCAGAGGCTGTTCCACTGGCTGTCCAGTCTGAGAGTCCCATATTCTAACTGTCTTGTCATGGGATCCAGAAGCTATGTGTCTGCCATCAGAAGAGTATGCTACTGAGTTAATAGAATGAGTGTGGCCCTGCAGAGGCTGACCCAATGGCTGTCCAGTCTGAGAGTCCCATATTCTGACTGTCTTGTCATCAGATCCAGAAGCTATGTGTCTGCCATCAGGAGAGTATGCCACTGACAAAACAAAATCAGTGTGGCCCTGCAGAGGCTGGCTGACTGGCTGTCCAGTCTGAGAGTCCCATATTCTGACTGTCTTGTCATAAGATCCAGAAGCTATGTGTCTGCCATCAGGAGAGTATGCCACTGACCAAATAAAATCAGTGTGGCCCTGCAGAGGCTGGCCCACTGGATGTCCAGCCTGAGAGTCCCATATTCTGAGTGTCATGTCATAAGATCCAGAAGCTATGTGTCTGCCATCAGAAGAGTATGCCACTGACTGAACATAATCAGTGTGGCCCTGCAGAGGCTGGCCCACCTCCTGTCCAGTCTGAGAGTCCCATATTCTGACTGTCTTGTCATCAGATCCAGAGGCTATGTGTCTGCCATCAGGAGAGTATGCCACTGAGTTAACAGAATGAGTGTGGCCCTGCAGAGGCTGGCCCACTTGCTGTCCGGTCTGAGAGTCCCATATTCTGATTGTCTTGTCATAAGATCCAGTAGCTATGTATCTGCCATCAGGAGAGTATGCCACTGACAAAACAGAATCAGTGTGGCCCTGCAGAGGCTGACCCACTGCCTGTCCAGTCTGAGAGTCCCATATTTTGACTGTCATGTCATCAGATCCAGAAGCTATGTGTCTGCCACTAGGAGAGTATGCAAAACTCCATATTTCAGTTCCACAATTTAATATTTTCACTCCTCTTGACAAATCTTTTGCCTGATCATATTTTATCTTGACACATTTTCTCAAGTGCATCTGATATGCCCTGAAATCATTCACTACCATAGGGAGAGCCGATATGTACAAATGTGGAGTACTCTCATTGATTGCTGTGAAGTATCTATCTATGAGGCCTTGAACTGCATTTAGGAGAAACTTGAAGTCAACATTATCTTCCTAACCAAAAGTGATTAGCTTTTCTATATTGCTTACAATTTGGAACACTTACTTTGTATATATTTGTCCACTCTCTCATGTGTTTAAAGCAATCATTATATATATCCAGCCTTTTCATCACACTCAAACATTCAATCCAGTATATCATCCACTTTTGTGTCACAAAAACTTTAACACTTTCTTTAAGGCTCTGATCTTTTGTTCCCTCCACTATGTGTTTGCTCCAATGCAAACAACTATATCTTAGTTGAAGTGAAATATATTTTTCTACTCTTTCCTCAATTGGAGGATTACTAATCTCTGAATCTTTCAGACATGATGTCTCCAGATTGCAAATATTGAATTTAAGCTCTCTTGTCAACACTTCCATACATATTTTTGACATCATCATGTGCCCATCCTCTTGTTTAATAAACCACCCTTCTGAGTCATCTCTTGAAACAATGAAATCTCTGAAAGACAAGTGATTGTAAAGTTTCCCATCATTTTCATAAACCACTGCCTGAAGATTCTTCAGAACATTTTCAACAACATCAGATGTTGTGCCTTGAACACTCAACAACTGAATCAATGTTGCAGTGGATATGGGCTCTATGGCAACCAATAGGAGACTCATCACTGCCTTGAAATATTCACAGTTGTCCTGCTCAGAGAATGATTCTTTCAACACCATGCTGTATAAATCATAGAGCTGTTGATATGCAGTGTTTCCCTCCTGTTTCTGTTTGATGCCAAGAATAATATCCAATCTAGCTTTCTTATTCATTCCATTGTCTATGTAGGTCAGTGCTGTCACAATCCAGATGAACAGACCATCAGCTTTTCTGACTAGCATGCCTCTCATTTCGGGAGTAATCAGATTGTTCTTTTTGAATTTTGATTCAATCAATAGTTCAATGTCGGAGTTAGTCTCATATCCTGTTGTAAGATCAAAATTCACAGCAGAGGAAGAATCTAAAGCCTCCTTTATGTCTGGATATGGTCGGCTAGTAATGATTAATTTCATTATGGATACTTCATTGCAAAAGTTTACTAAGCCCTCAAGCAATATTCTACGCTCATCTTCTGTTCCCCATTCATCAAGACCATCAATTATTATCATAGTCTTTTTGTATATTGAATGTTTAAAATTGACTGGATTTAGGAACTTGTCCAATTGCTCCTGCAGTGGTAAGTCTGGAGCATGCAGAGAGTAGTCTTGTTCAAAAATATTGAGCAAGATTTTTCCATAGTTTGGCCATGTTTTTGCCAATTGATAACAGATTGTTGGTACCAATAAAGATGATCTACTGGTCTCCTGGCCCTTGACACAGTGAAAGGTCAGTGCAAGAGAAATGCTGCCACTTAAATTCTTTCTGGTCTTGGAGGCTAGGGATACTGCCACTGCACTTTTACCAGTGCCAGCTATGCCTGAGATCCAAGCAAGTCCACCTTGAGCATCATTAGCCCATTTTTCTAGGTCATCGAGCAGTTTTACTCGGGTTCCATCCAGACATTGATGAGTTTTCTTGGCAGGATACAAGATGGGACTCAACCTTTCTTTGAGGATAGCAAGTTCACTTCCATCTGGTGGTTACATGAATATCAATCTATATTGACTTATAGAGATACTTACTGTAATAGTTGTTGACATTTTGATGTCTTCCAACAACATTGATGTGTGAGTTTACAATGCTGTTGCTTGAGGCTTGCTCAAACACATGAATTTCAGTTCTTTGCTGACCTGTATATTTGTCATTACAAGTCAAATTTAATTTTACTTACTTCACTTACCTGATGCATTCTGATTTTGACCTTCTGTATCTGGTAAGCCTGGAATATTCCTTGGACTTTTGTGCAGAAGATCTAGTTCAGGACTTCTTCTGAGGCTAACAGAACCGCCACTGTTCTGTTCAGAATGAAGACTTGTACCAGAGTCTTGATTAGCAGTTGGATGCATAGTCTTCTGACGCTTAGCTCGAGGCACGATGCAAAAGAGATGATTCGTAAAGTTATCCAACTGCACGTGAGGATGAGATAAGTTCTGTCGTCGAAACCTTGGTGGTGGGCACTCCCGCTCAAGCTCGCTTAGTGACTAAGCAGCACCGCCACTCCAGAACATGTCCGCCCCCTACCTCACCTTCGTTTACCATTGTATCTCACTCGTAACACATTACGGGCTTTCGCAATTTGACATATAAGTATCTATTAATGTTAAAAAACTTTTGGTGTACTTAAAGTGATATATTGTAATGAATAAACTGATCCTTATTCTTCCATCTCTATATCCTCCTCCTCGTGCCATTCCTCTTGAATTTCCAGCTCTGACTGCAATGATTCTTCTTTTCCCAACGAGTTTGGCCATGTCCTCCCAAGGTTCTGCAATTTCTCTAGATATTCCTTGAAGCCCTGAATTAAAGCAGCCCGTTTCTGGTCGACCTTGGATAATTTACTCTTCAACGGAAGAGGAACCGAACGAAACCGCAATGCGTCAAGCTGAAGGTCGAAAATGTATCCTGTCCATTTCCCACTGCTCTTGGGATCTAATTCAGGCCGAGGAGCACCCTCGAGTTCTGACAGGTCCCGGATTAATGGAATCTTCTTCAGCTTCTCCCGCAATTCAATAGCTTTTCTCTTCTTCGCTTCCTCCTTTTCTTTGTTCATTACCACCACTCGTCGTCGAAAATCCACTTGTGCCGCCCTTCGTTTTGCCTCCAACCCACTCCCGTCAATCCGACGTGCCTCTCGCATAATGTAACAGTGATCTTCGTCTTCAAATAATGCGTTCATGAACGCTAGCGTGTTATTTCGGGAATACATTGCTTCAGCATTGTACTGATGCAAGGTCAAGGTGGGTTTTCCGCGTACTGTTACACGATAATGCCCCAAACGTCCCTCGTTCGCATCGTTTGTTGATGGCATCCATGCTAAATCGCGTTCCTCCGCCGTGGCTTCATCAATCAATCCCCCAGGTGCAAATTCAGCAGAAAACCGTATCCAGGTAGTCAAAGAACCACGAAAAAAGGCAAGGGTAATAGGTTTGAGATATGGTAATCTTGGTGCAAGGTTGTAGACCGCGGTGACGGCGTCCTTGTCCTCCCATTCTTGTCCGTCCAAAGTTGCTGTGGCGCAGGCAACGTCGTCACCGAAAAGTAAGTCGGGATTTTCTAGTATGTTCCGAATATGTACTTGTAGCTCAGCATGAAGTGGCCCAAGGTCTAACGCGTTTGTTTCTTCGGTTCCAGGTCCACGTACTACCCGCATATAGGGATGGGATATTACGTTTGTATATAGAACCATGGCAGACAATTCAGTAACTGTTGCCACGTCCTCAAGTGCACGAAGAAGATTGATTTCGATGTTTGTTCGCGATGGATTCGTCTTGCTGTAAGGTATGTCCGTCTTGATATAATCAACATAAGCATCCAAATGCCTGATGACCTCGCAAGCGGCGAGCCCGTGGCTTCCAAAACGCGTGTTACTGGTATCTGGAAACCTCCGATGATTCTTCCCAAAGAGCTGCTTGAAATGGTTAACGTGTATGTCGCCTTGTCCTTTTTTGTCGTCTTTGTGATTGAAAAGAGCGCCGGCCAGATCCATTGCCTTCACGCCACCTCGTGTTGACTCTTCGAAAGCTTTCCGTTCGACTTCAGACAGTTTGTCCAAATTCCTACCCGGCTCGAAAATATTATGCAGAATAGCCGCATTGGACTTGTTGGCAAGGAGAACTGGTGGGTCGACTGCAAGTTTTGACCATTCGGCCATCATCTCGAGATTTCCTCCCTTGAAGCTATTTTGATCCTTGTGCATACAGCACCCACCCCAAATGAATAAGTCCATCCCCCTTCGTTCACTATCAGTCAAAGTGTCGTATTCCTCCTGACCCAGGTCCATAAGAATATTCTTCATCAAAGCTGCATCGCGCTCAGCCTTCTCCTTATTGGACAATGCCTCCCATGCCTCGTAACCACCAACCTCTGCAATCTTCTGTGCATTCCAGGACGCAAGGTAAAGAACAAGCTCCTCAAATTCCTTCTCCGCAATTTTTTTCTCGCCCATTTCCGTTATCAGCTCCTGTCTTTTCCACTCTTTAATTCCCGCAGCAGTAGCCTTTTCGTTATTGGCATGATCACCACTCATTCCCTTGAGAACACGAAGAAAGTCACGAACGGTGAACTGTCGGTTGAGGCGCTTGGCAAGTGGGCTTCGGTTATACAGGTCAGTCATGTCAGCGACATTTTCCTTCCACGTATCAACAGATCCCTGACTCGAGTGATCATTAGGAGCTGAAAGACAAAAAAATCGAACACGAGGCTTCAGCGACTCGGAGTTGTCAGTGTAGTCGGTTGCTCGCACAACAACGTGTTCTGCTTCGTAATTCTGTTTCCGGTGAGAGGTGCTGTCTTGGCTGATAGTCGCTCCTATGAAATGGTAAGTGAAAAGCCTTCCCACATCGAATGACCTAAGACACCTTTGGTCTCCAGCAGTTCGTGAGCCATCTGGATTTTCGCAGCCACTCCACCTTCAAGAATAGCCCGAGAGACAGTCCGGCGGCTCATACAGCTGTCAAACTTGATACCAAAGGTGTTGCCAATGAGCGCCATCAATCTCCCAACTTTTGCTCTGGTACAACCCGCCAAAACCATCTCTCGAGCCAGCTCACGGGACTTTCTTGACCATGCCCGACCCCGGTTGAGTTTGAGTGAAGCTAGCGACCGCTCTCGTGCAACTGACAACAGCCGCACATGGTCCAAACGTTTTGCCTGGTGCTCCAGACGGTAAACCTTTTCTCGAAGACTTTGCCTTTGCTCGCTGTACAGGTAAGACATTCTTTTTCCCTCCGACACCTCTGCCAATAACTTTTTTCGGTCCGCCTGATATTCTTCTAACCGTTTCTTCAACTGAAGGTTCAGCGAGTAGTTCTGTTTCTCCCTCTGCTTGAGCTTTTCGACAAGCTCCGAGTTCTTGCTCTCTAGACACCGATTTTTGGCCTTTAGACGACGATTTTGACGTTTAGCGCTGGCAAGCTGAAGTGTAGTTTGGGCTGGGGCTTTTTTTACGCTTCTCTTGGAGGAAGCGTGAGGAATATAGGAAGTGCGCGGGGATGTAGTAGAAGGGGTCAGAGGAGTTTTGCTCGGTTTGGTGTTTTCTTTGTCCTCGTTCTTGAGCCATCTTGTCTTGTTGGCCTGGGCAAGGTTGTCTTTCTGCTTTGTTGAGGGCTTCTTCTTTGACTTTCCCGTGTGCTTGATGTTCTTTTGGTTAGCCATGTACGCATTCTAGAGTGAGGCTTGTCTGGTGGTACTGCCGCAGGCTTGGATAATCACTATTTTTCATTCAAATCATTCTTGCATATGACATGGACCCTATGAAAGTGTTTTGGAAACTCACTGGGCTATCTCGAGGTAGAGAAGAACGGTATTTGGGTGCAATGAAGTCGCGGCGGTGCGTGACAGAGACGCGTTATGTCACGCGTTTGTGACTTTAAATTACGACTAATGGCTAAAACAAGGTCCTTATAGAGAAATTCTTTCCACATCTCGCTTTTTCGTGTTTTTTTCTCGTGATACGACAATTTATTTTAATTATCTAGGGCGTGGTAGGAGGATTTGGCACCAGATGCACTTTAATATGTCTATCTTATTTCTATCTTTCGACCGGGACAACTTGAGGGAAATTCCTCCTACCATTCCCTCCATTATAATATTTTATTTTACTGAGCACGCAGTATTTCATGACTGGACAATGTTTAACACAAAAAAGCGGGGGCGGACAATTTTCCTTGCCATAGACTGTGGCAGTGCTGCTGAGTCACCACGCGAGCCTTGGCCGGACTGCCCACCTCCAGAAACCTTATTGTGTAGCGGTTATCACATGGGATTCTGATGAGTATCAATTCCCCTCCTTTCCCATGACCCAGGTTCGATTCCTGGCAGGACTTATAGTCGGGAATGGAGTTCATTTTTGTGCTAACGCTTTCTGCTGGTTATCAGTCGATCTAATGATCAACGAACTTATATCAACTCCTTTTCGAGGTTCATGTCTCAGTTGACTCGATAACTTTTCGCCCCATCAGTAAGTACTTGTTACTAGCGTCGGTAAGTACTAGCAACCTTCTAGGTACGCACACAGGTGGGTTAGTACATAGTGCTGATCTAGATGTCTGAGCTGTATTTTTCTCCCTTTCAATAGAGTAGGTAGCACTCCCGCTCCTCCTCTTTGCCTCAAGGTTGGTTGGTTGGGCGCCAATACTAACATCTTTGACGCTATCGATAAATCAAAATACATTACGAGGCCCCTTAAGGGACTCGTCCTTACTAAACCTACATCGCTGGTGGGCGCTTATTTTCCTTTACACAAACCCATTTGGCATATCAGTTATCTTATCGTTCATGTGATAAGGGCCTTGTACATGCCACGCGAAAGCGATGGCCCATTTTCGTAATATCTATAGGCTCGCTGAAACGAACAAGACCCAATGTGACATTTAATTGCCATAAGCATTCACTGTGGCTGTTGTTGAGCTTGACCAGTAGTAACATACGTCGAAGGTATAGAAAGAGGAGCTCCCTAAAACAAATACGGTGATAAGACTGAATCTGACATACACGGGAGTGATAGATTTTAAACACATCTAGTATTCATTGTTCATGTTCGCTGATCCCAGTACATAGCAGTGCTTGGAATCTTACACACACTTGAATAGTTCTTTTCGGTTCATTAGAGGTATTTTCTTTACTTTAATTACGACAATCTAACCATTACAGTGAGTGCTAGGCAAAATCCACCGCCATGTTCTTGATCACTTGATCTATCCTCTCCTTGTTAAGCCAATCCGAGCCATGAACGACCTCTATGATGACCTCTATGATGATGGTAGTGAAACAAACCCCAAATTCCAAAAATTTCCAATGGCCAAGTCGGACTTCCGCACTAAGGTTCAGCAAGTAACTTCCAAGGCTTCGATTCCATCATCTATATAACATGTACATTCATTTGACGTGGGTTCTTCACGGACTGGTTCAGAACTGCCTAAAAGAGCACATCAAACTTTCGAGTGACATTTTTCTCATATAAATTCGCAGTGCCGACTCGGACTGTATGTCAAAGCTTGATTTTTATGACAGATCTTCTGGCGTCTTCTTTCATGTCTTGAGAGATATCCCCTACTGGTCTGACTGAAGTTCTTATTGGTAAATCAAAGTCTGGCTCGGCCCCAGGGGTCTGGACCTCAAGCTCAGGACCTTTACTAGTACTGTTCACGAAAATGAACCCTCGATTGAAACTCCTCGAACTGTCTCTCAATTTGAAAAGAATTTTTGCTTGGGGGCTTCTCGTGTGACTATAGCTATACATATACATATAGCGATAGCGCGTTTTTTTTTTTCCGATATCGGTCATCATTTCCGAATTTGAATCTCCAAACGTACAAGCCTCGAATACAGATAACTATAGTAGCAGTATCATAGCAAAAACTGAGAATTTTGAACTTTAACTTTATCGCCCTTTCCCTTCTGTGGTATCGAAGTTTCTCAGCTAAAGCACATTCTATTTCTACTATGCTATGTATGTCCACCTTATCCCTGTTCTCCAATAGGTGGATTTATGTGGTTCAAAACGCGAATTCGAACCTAAAAAGGGACTGCTAATCTATTCGTTCCGAGTCAGAAGGGACAAGCACATGTTGTAGTTCGATTCATTCAGTTACGTGTTTCTCCCAAGTTCTCGACATCAGGTAGAAGGAAGCATGTATACATACACCGTAGATATGACAACCTTCATTGTTCCTGTTAATAGTCATCCGGATATGGGGACGCTGATAAGTAGCCTTATGAGTATAACTATTGTCTTACAGTTGCTATCGACTCGTCGAAGGGTAGTATCCCTTCCTGTTATGACTTATTGTACATGAGTGCAGCGGCACTAGGTCTAAACAGAATTTATCATGCAGCGGCAGGCGGAAAAGACTTGTGAAATTCAGCTCTCAATCTGACTTCCATCATCAAACGGTAGTGCAGTAATGGTGGCGCTAACGAATCAATGTTCCTAATACATAATCTTTCGGGCTAATGACTCGGACAAAACCTTACGAAAGGAGCCAATTGAACCTTGTAATACAATTCCGGTCTACACCTACCATAAAGATACAAGCCTTATCAAAACTCAAGACAGCCGCAAAGCCGCTCTGTCCAGGTAACTGGTCCGACATCGCCATGATTGGAATACATCGGAAGAGAGGGGGAAGTCGATTGTTCAATTACACACACCATACACACACACATACATACGAAAAGAGTCAAATCGCCAGCAGGCAGGGTTAAAACTAATTGGATTTTGCGGCGTTGACAGGCGGGGTTTTTCTGGTTCTCCCCCCTACATACCGCACCTACCCCAAATCTCTTTTTCATTGATCTCTCGCTTCTTCCGACGCCTCGACGTCAATCACCCTTCAAATTTCAAAAGTTTGCCGACTGACTGGGGTCTTTATTAGCTGGAAGTTTTACTATATTAGACCGGGTTATTCTGAAACGACTTTCTTTTTTTCTTTCTTCTTAAGCCCCCCACCCCCGCTGGTACTCTGGGCCCTTTAGTCGTCCCCAGGTCGGCTATCCCCTCCTTCAATTCCTCCCCTCAGGTTTCCTCAATTCTATAGTCGTTCCTTCAATTCCTTCCTTCTGTCATACACATTAACCGACTCATCTCATCTCAAAAAATGAAGTTTTACTCCACCATCACCTCAAGAGGGCCTTCAACCGTGATCACATCCCATTATCGGATCCCTCTTCTCCTTCTCTTCGCGTCTCTGTTCTTATCGACAAACGCACAAACAACGACAACTCCCTCCGATTCCAATTCAGATCCGAACTCGACAGTTGATAACAGTGGAGATGATTCAGCTACTTCCGGTCCTGACGCTAACGGTGTCTGTTACAAAGAGTAAGTCTTCCCTCCCTTCCCTCTCCCCTGATCGGCCCCCCAATCTATCTATCAATTTCGAAGAAGTTATTGAATACTTAAATTTACCGAATTATTTATCTTCTTTTTTCCGTCCTTCTCTTGTTCTGCCCTTTGTGGCTCTTAAAGTCCCCCGACGAACCAAGACGTCGTTCCATGCGCTGTTCGGACCCACAATACAGCCTCTGGGGTGAACGTAGTCCCGATCGTTATTGGGGTGGTTGCTGGATGCGTTGTAGGTAAGTTCGGTATCCGAAAACTCGTTTTGGTTTTGAGAAGAGTGTCCCACCCAAGTTGTCATACGTCAAACATCTTTCAACTTTTTCTTCTTTCTTGTCAACTTTCCGATGTGTTCATTTAACCTTTCGCTAACACTCTTTATTTCCCTCGATTTTACGTCCCCTCTCTCTCCTCCGCTTCTTCCCGTGCTCCTCGCTTCACACTTCTGGCGCGCTTCAACGCACATGTACAGTCCTCGTTCTAATCGCGGCTTTCGTGATCTGGCGACATCGCGTCCGTGCTCACCATCACAAAATCAGTGACAGCTCCCGTTTCGATTTCGCTTCTACCAGCACTACGACTTCTAGCAAAGAGTTAATGACGAAAGAAGACAGTGGCCGTCCGAATCGTCATCATCGTCATTTTGATCCGACTCGACGTCAACATCATGGAAGTAGTCGTTCCAATCGACCAGGATCACCCAGGACACAATCGGTACAACATATTTTCAACGATTTCGTCGTCGTCGGCTCGCATAATAATAACAGCGGTTCGAGACCAGGGAGTGGTGGTAGCAATAGCAGCGATGGTACTACTAGTCATGGTGGAAAGGGCCAAAAGAAGAAGAAAATCCGTCACGCTGACAAAGTCCGAGTCGAGTCTCAATCGAATTCAAAGGGACAACGAGTAGTAGTAGGTCCACAGATTCGTATCACAGGAACAGGAGACCGTCCACGTCACACTCCGAGCGCACTAGAAGAAGAGGGGAAATCGGGAAGGAACCAGGATCAGGACCAAGCCTCTTTACCTCACTCGGCATCGGACCTGGACTTGGACTTTCAAAACGTTAACAAAATTCACGTTCAGGAACACGATTATCACCGTCGACGTCGTGATTCGTATGGCACTAGCAGCATCGTGTCGTTCCATTCAATAACCGACGAGTCCGAGTCTCATGTCAACAAAGATGGATCCGGAGATATCATCAACGAGAAACTTGAAAAGCAGCGGGGGAAGACGCAGATAGAGATCTACGTGTTACCTGCTACACCGGAACCTTGTTCGGAGTTACGGTGATGTTGAGCGAGGATTGGAGATGGAGAGGTGTGACGACGAACGACGACGAGATTGCCGGAGGAGTGGTGAATCGAGAAAAGCCTTCTAGTGTCCAACGTCTAGTGCTTTTGATTAGCACTTAGATCGAGACCCTTGAGATTTTGCCACTGCCAAAGGTTCTGCATGGGGCGTTGGTTCTATTCGTGCGCGCTCGTGTGTTGTTAAGATGTCTTTGCCGTGCTTCCTGTCATCTATCTCTCTCATACTTATTAATCCCTCTTTTATTTTTCCGTTTGTTTTCTGACTCACTTGCTGCATTTTTGGTTTTTTTTGGGTTTATCCACCTCCAATCTTTTTTTTTTCATAATTTCTCTTTGACATCGCTTGTTCTCTACCAATGGCCATTTGTAACATTCCTTACTTATCCTCATTCTCATTCTCATCCATCTCGCATTCCATTTTACTCATTTGTCTGTGTCTGTCACTCATTCATTCATTCATTAATCGTGATATATTCCTTTCCATTTTTTAAAGCGGTTACATACGGTTTATCTAGCACATACTACTTATCCCATCTCGTTTTTAATACCCCCCGACCTTATATCCACTCTTTAAATCGTTGTTGTTGTTGTTGGTTATCGTTTATTGGATCTGTACTACATGTAAACCTTCCACTCCTTTTGTAATTCCCCCTGTAATTTTTGACTTCAA